GTCACTGCCAACGATACATTTGTGAATAGCAAATTAACACCTAATGAAATTACCATCTCTTTTGAAACTGTTGCACCATACACAACATCGATAAATTCAAACCTTCGAATTAGTTCAAGTATGTAACTTATTCATTTTGCAGTCGAGTTGTACTGTGACCCGGTCTTGTTTAAAACGGGGCGACCAGGTAATCCAGCATTACCTACCTTAGGTAGGTTATATAGCCCAGATATTTTAGAACCCGAAGAATTTATTTTGATCGGCTGATATTGTAGAAATCTTTTTCACTCTTTTCGTGATTTAAGTGAGTTGTTTAAAATTTGTTTATTCGAAAATCCTGTACTTGACTTTCATATGACAAATAATCAAATTCGAACAGCACAATGATTCACTCGGCTTCACATTATCAAGTGTACGTGTGGGATTTCATAAAGCTGAATATAGGATTAACTGGTGAACAAGTGTCAGTACTTCTCCAGAGTTTCTGAGAATGATGCTGTTAATTCTGTCACGGCTTCGAACCACACGACTGAGAGTCGCGTGAAATCTGAGCATCAAACAAAAATGTATTTAAACAGCGGTTCTATCATTAAAAAGTATATGCATTTCGGTCATGCACCTGAACTTGTCAGGTATCTGTGACGGTTGTTCTTCTACATATACGGAAGAAGAAATGCTTCGATAACGTAAATGACAGGCGGTAGTTGTGTTTAAACTCAATGATGAATATCAACAATCAAATGGAGACTAGGAAAACAAAATTATGGGAGCTGTTGTACCTAGTCAAAATTTCAGCAAAGACAAATTAACTGAAGGTCACTGTTGCGAGTGTCCCGAGAATGTGATAACGATAACAAAAAGAGTGAATATTTATTCATTGTTTGTGTATCGACTTATATTACTTGATAATGAACTCTTAGTTTCCATTTCGGTTGTTGATAAATTGTTGTTAAAATTCGACACAGTTACCATCTGTCATTTACGCTGTCGTATTCTGTAATTACTCTTCATATTACTAATACAGGAACGATTTCTCTTGATAGACATACAGACACGTTGATCATCGTAGATGCCAATTTATTTATATTTTTTTATAACAGAACGTTCTTTAGACAAATAGTTGTATAGAAGCTCCTCTTTAATTTGAAATAAAGCGTCAATCCAGTACATTGAGATTTGATAAAGACTCACCTTCACATAAATTATTTTGCAAGATCAATTGGGAATCTCTGACTTCACTCACTAAAAATTTGCTGTGATAGATATCGGCTCCGATTTGCGATGAAGTTACACGTTCTCATTACTTGACCGCTTAAACACACATATTGAATACTCATATGGGTAACATACAAACTGTCACGCAATCTCGTTCCACTATCAACTGAAATTTGGATAACATCGATTCCATTATCACCATGTAATAAATACATTTTACAGACCAGTAACCAAATCATTTATTACCTTCCGCTTACTTCATCTTGTTCCTTCTACTGGTGAGAGGTACAACGAGTCAAGTACGAGTATGTGATATCAAACAAAACAGTACGAATCATAGTGACTGTTTCCTTTATATGTCTGAGTAATGACACTCATAATGTGTTAATAGTGTCACATGAAGTCACAAATAAGTGGGACAATATCGAACTGGAATCCGCAGTGTAATTGAAGTGGAAGTCAAGTACAATGAAATGTTATACTGACAAATAAACCAAAAATCCAAGTGATATTCTCTAATCATATAACGCCTAATTACGAGTAAACTGAAGCGTTCGATGCAATCGGCTTGAAAGTGTTTACGAAAGATTCACTGAAACGTCTGTTCCTATTCTTCGTTTGCTGATCAATAATGTACAGTGAAAAATTCTGAACGAAATTGAGTTGGTAATAGGAAGATACAGTAAGAATCACATGTCTTCCTCATGCTAGTAACTACTTGGCCAACAATATGCAGTTGCAGGTCTACATTTACAACCATAGAGTGAGCAAAATTACGTGTGAATGATTTTCACAATTTCCGGTGAATTTATATCATTGTGTTTGTGGTGCGATTTAAATGCGATACGTACACCATATTCTGATTACTCTTCATAATTATTCTGACAATCACGTGACCAATCCATTTGAGCCTATTTACTACTCTTGAATATTTTTAACCGAGTTGACTTGAATTCAGTTAGCCGACAACTTTCTCTTCTACATGAATCTCATCACAGTAACTGGGATGATCTGGTGGATTGGCTGCAAACGACCACATCTCAACCAACTTAAGTGGGCAGCAGAGCAGTGAACTGTCGAGTTCGTTGTTCATCGAATCATCCTCGTAGCATCATGTATGGTTCTCAACGTCAGAGAACAGAGAGGATAGAACGGTTGACGGAGAGAAAGATTGTTGTTTAGAGTCGGAATCTGACACGTTATCACTGTCCTCATAATCATAGTCTGTTTTATTCATGACTATGAGATAGAAATGAAGTCACATCACTAAATTTTCACCTTCACAAACTAAAAATCATCATCACTGTAAATGTGACACAGACTTGAAGTTGATGAATTTTCAACAAGTGACGTAACTTCCCACCTCAATGTAATCTGCAGACATACATCCCATCAGTTGATTTGTATTTGCCTCGAGTTCATTGGATGGACCGAATTGTTAGTCGAGAGAAAATTACTGTTCTCACAATGATCAACAAATTATCGTTCCGATTGAATAAATACGTTGTAATAATATCACTCCGAATTTGACGTCATATGTTGATGACTAGTTTCATGTTGGAGCACTAGAAATGTACACAAACACGACAGTGCATTCAAACGAATACAAGAAGCGGATGAACTCATCATTCTGTAATTCAACCAAGAATAATAACGTTTCATATTTAGATTTTCACCCAATTGAGGGATGGGTTTTATCGCACAACCAAATCAACTCAGAAACGAATATTAGGAAGGAAGCATTACTCACTAGTCCTCAACTTCAAGGTACGTTTGGTAATGTTATGGTGACAATCTGATATCAGTGTGACTGTTTCCCTTGGAAGTCGTGACAGTCACTGAATGAGTGTAGTAGTGTATTACGAGTCGATGGAAAGTTCAAGGCAAAATGAACGACAGCAGTTGCACTGACTCTAAACAAGAAGACAGTAACAAAATGCACCATAAATTCGTTGTACATTCCAATGTGTTTAAATCACATGAGCTGCAAACTAGTATTCCTTGTATGATCTGTTGTTTGAATGATTCATGTTTAGACACGTGCACATGGTTTCGTCGAAGTGCTTCCATTCCCGTCTTATATCTGAACCACTGCCACCACCGTCACTAGCAAGCAAACCACTCTTCGTCACCGCTAGTCAATCGAAGTTTGGTCACATTTACACTACTCACATCATTCTCTAATATGTTTCATGCATCTCTCGACAATCTGTATAAACTGGTCACTCATTGTATTAACAGTGCTTATCAGGGAGACTGTCATTAAGCCCTATCTATTTTCATTTAATATTGAGTTTATCTTTAAGTGAATATTTTATCTCGCAACCTACATCCAAATTATGAAAATACTAATTAGACCAAAGTGACAAGTGTAACTGGGTCATCTATTCAACAACATCATTAACTCATTTTTCATCCATTTCACCTCTTCTTCAACCTTCCTGATTACAATTTACGTAGATAATAGATTATCCAAATCATGATCATACACCTACATGACCATGTGAGATTTTGTAATTATTTAGTTTGATAGACAGCCATCAATTTGTTTTTCGTTGAAGTTATGCGGAGTTTCTTATCTAAGGTGTCAGAATCGAAACACTGAAAATGGTATCCGTTTCGCTACAACCAACCAACTTTCATTGAAATCATTTCCAATATGATTACTGGGTTGCTCAAGAAATGTTCGGATCGATCAATATTCCCTTACTTGTGTGGGAAACGTGTGAATCGAATATGTTGTAAATAGGAGGAGATTGTTGAGAATATGTTTTGCCTCCCTACTAAATGTGGAATGAATTGGTGAATAGGCTAGGATGTTTTGAAATGCTAGTCAGTAGAATCACCGAATTATTCGTCAGTTTCTCATTGGTATTTTCACACTATATTATTTATTCATTTGTCAGTTGTCTTTATCACATCACTGAGTCAAAATTCAGCTGCACAGTATTCTCTGAACTTCACTTCCGATCCGCGATCATAGTTTGTTTGGAAACTACAATCGAATGTGACAATGGTGAAATTGAATAAAACGGTGCTGTGAAGTGACACTGTATCTTTCATACAGATATGCTTATTGTTGTGGAAACGTTTTTCAGAATATCCAGATTATCTGATGCTTGGTGTCGAGTGAAATGAATTGTTCGTGAATTGTGGTTGACGAGTGTCAATTGAAATTCAGTTCGGAATGAAACAAAATCAAAATTACAACTACTAATCAGTCAGTTGAATGTTAATTTCTTCACACACAGATTTCACTCAACACATTTCAGCTCAACTATTTCAGTTTCAATTAGGCGGTGAAGTGATGAGTGTAATTGACAGCCTCCACAGTCCAGTATTCATTCGGAAATGTCGCTTTTCCAGTTATATCAAAGGTCAACCAATCCAACGTATACAGTGGAACTAATGTTTGCACGTTTTGTGAACTTCTATCCTTTCAAATTCATATGAGCACAACCACAAAACAACCATCGAGAGCCTCTAAAGACTCGGACGACAATGCTCGTCATGACTGACGGATCGACATCATATTGCAAACCATTACAAACCGGGAAGTACTGCACAGTTATCCCATTCCACTTGAATCTAAACAGAAAACCTTAGTGACGAAATCATACTCAATAACAATAAAACGTTGTAGTCGAAATGCGACTCACGTGGACAATTACGATTGGATAACGACCTGATTACAATCGACCGTTGATTGATGAATAGAGCAACCAATGAAAATAGGTATTTTGGACGAAAAATCTATATAAACACCACACATCACCATCATTAGCATAGCATTGTAACTTGATATTTTCAGAGAATGTACTGGCCTGGAGATGCAAGTAAGTATCGGTAGAAACTATTGTACCAATGATGAATAATTTTGTTCTTCTTTCCAGTTGTCAACAACCAAGTAGCACAAACAACTGTTTATTCCTGTCACCGTAGTGAAGCAGCCACACAATCTACCGTGAGTTCAGATCGATGGTTGAATTATTGTGCATTGTTTGTTTTCTGATCAAATGTGGCAATATTACTGTCTGTGAGTGATGGTCATGTAACTGTTTCGGTGTCAGATCACCAAGCGTGTGTGAGAGCGATTTGGCTTCAGCGTTCACTCATTCTCTCTTCCTCATTATGTGTACTTTGTTCGCCCACTGACAGGTGGGCAATGTGCAGTCGACGATGTGTCGAGGCGTAGTGAGATCACGTGCATACAACTGACAGTTGTACATGCAATTCAGACACAACTTGTACAAATTACCAGTTATGCTTTGCCTTTACACTAGAAAACGAATGACATCCACGAACATTTGAACAGTTCGCATCAGTCCACATTTTGCACATCAATTCTCTAATCTATGCCAGCTCGGTCATTATATGTATTTCACTCTTGTCCATCGATATCATCACAATAAATCTCCTCTTATTATTATTCATTACAGACTTCCTATAGAATATCCAATCTACTGAAACTCATTCCAACATGTCTCAACCAAGTGATATCCAATCTGACGGGATCAGTGAACAGTGTTGTGGATTTGCACTGAACACTATAACTTCGGTCGTTTATTTGAGAACATAAATTTTTCATTATATGTACATGATTCTTCCGTTGTTTGTCCACATTGTAAATTAATCATCATTCATTATTGTCCTCATATTGTTAACATCTGTTCGTGTTTTCACTGGGAATTGTGTAATGCTTTCATCAGAACCATTTGTGTTTGTTGATTATGTTTTATATGGGTTGTCAGTAATAAATTCCTTCTGCATAATCAATAAATGATAATACTATGGATGATTATTCTCTTGTGTTGACGATGCAAGAAGCTTTAGTATGCACAAAGTGTTCACATAGATTGTGATGTTATGAGTGCAGAAGTGTTTGAATCAATTGATGTACGAGTGAAATTCGAGTCACTTAATCATATAGAGTTGTTCGTTACAGACGAGGGGTATTGTGTGGAGTGGCGATTAGGTGTCAGAATGGCGAAACACTTGATAATGACTAGCATTTAATTATTCACGGTTGTGCTCATCTTCTCCATAATTAACTAAGTGAATTTGATGGTAAAGAAGTACGGTGTTATGTTATTCGATTTGTAATTTGGTTGGTTTTACCAAACGGTTGCAGTCTTTAAGATAACATCAAAAGTGTTCTGATACTGTTAAGACAGTTCACTGAAGAATTGAGATTGTTTAGTATTTAATTTTTAAATAAATTTCAAAGGATTAAGTCTATTTACTGATTTAGGTTTATAATAATTAGTAATAGCTATTAAAATAGTACGTGCGAGTAGTTACATCGGTTTGATCTTTAATACTTAGATAATTAATCTTCACTAACATAGATTATTGTGATGCTAAATTAAAGTATATGGACAACAAAATATAATAATGGGATCAGTTGTAGTAGGGAAATAAGTTTTACACAAATAATAATATTATCAACCAATCTTCATAATTACAAAGTGAATTTGAAATGTATACCAAGAAACCAGACTATCAGGAGAGTTAAAATATTAGTTATTCACCTTATCTCATAGTAGTTGACTATCATTTTGTTTGATCAAACTGATATCAGTAGTTCTTTCATAGGTGGATGATTATTTTTTCTTCAAAATGGATAATTTTATCTATCCATTAAACAGTTTTATGAAATTTTCTTATTCTATTGAAAAATTTCGTGGATTGTTTGAGGTTAGACATTGACATCGTTGGGTTGCGGCTCAGTAGTATAGAGGTTAAGCGTTCGCGCGCAAGACTGAAATCCCTGGGTTCGAATCCCACGAGCGGGATCGTCGATGTGCACTTCCGAAGAGTCCCACAATAGAATGAAAAACGGCCGTCTAGTGCTTCCAGGTTTTCAGTGGTGGTTTAACATCAATCAGTTCATGATCTGAATCAAAACTATTGAAAAACTGTATAAATCTCTCAGGTAATAAATAACTTGAAGTCATCCTTTTCTATCTGCTTATTTTCACGTAAACTACCATTGTTCACGCCTAGAATTGATGTTTCATTAGTTATATCAATTTGTTCTTTTGCTTTTCTTTCTGTAATTTAATTGAAAATTTGAGGGCAATAACTCTATTAACTTAATAAAATTGTCCAATTAGCCCATAAACTGACATTTTTTAAAGAAAATGGATAATCTATCTATCTTGATCTAGAAATGTTGAGATTCAAATAAGTAAACAATAATTTTGTACTATCATTGTGTAAAATATTAAATTAAATGTTCATCAACTAGGTAATCTGAATTGTTTCTATTTGTCAGTCTATTCATATTCTTTTATACCCGATTTTCTAAAACTAGTATGTAAAGTCTTGTTAATACATATAAATAAAAACAAACACAATGATTAACAAATAATAATAAAACTTAATCGTTCCACTGACTAGCTTTGTACGGATATGTGTCATTCAACAGTTTTTCTCCCACGATCAACTGATTCCAATAGATATACTTCCAAGAATCAATAAAACCGTTGAGATAGACAAGTTCAACGAGATGCAGATACTAGTCGGTTAAATAGGATAGAATACAGTTGGAAGAAACGATTAATGAATCATAACCCTATAGTTGAATAATATTAAGCCCAGAGAACCTAAAGGTTATGAATTCAATCCTGTGTGGGGTAAATACCGTATACTACTGTAGAGTCCTTAACTAAAATGTAATGGCTGTCTAACATTGCCTACTGTTCAACGATTGTCTAGATGACATACGTTTGTGGTATAAAAAAACTGCCTTTAAATAAAACAAAATCATCACAACGCAAATTCCGAAAACTTAGGCATAAATCTAACGAAATGGACAGCATTTAGTTTATTTTGAAGTACAATTTATTTACAACGGATTAACACTCATGAAACTGCAAACTGCTTACCATGAAAACTAACAGAATATACCATATTTTAAAATATAATGATAAATCAATATTAGTATAGTCTTATGTCTTGCGATCAATCAATATGCCGAGATGACTTTAAGCAAACGATACGTTGCAAAAACGAGGGAGACTGATACTCTATGCGTGACCGTTGTACTAATACTAACTAATTCCAAACGAAGAGTAAAAACACAAGACTAATGATCACCAGTCCAAGATCATTACTATATTTCAGACACTCATTTATATACATACAAGATCAGACCATACAGTAGAGCAGTTGAGTATCAGTATCAACACTGAACAGCAATATTAATGATTAGAAAAACTAAATGTGGTGTGTGCTAATGATGTCGACAGATATAAGTAGTATGTGTAATCAATCGAAAGTGAAATGCAAGGTGGCAGAAGATTAAGAAGATCGAAGAAAAGAGAACGAGAACAGAGAATAATTGGTGTGGAAATGAAGGGACAATAAAGTCCGAGACGATTGATTGACATTTTGCAAATGAAAAATTTACTGTATTGTTCTCAGATTTTACTAAGATGTTCTGTAATTTTGTGACTTTACACATTCTATAGTCCCTACCTGTGTTCTCGTTCACTGCACTGGGTACACAAACAACCGATCCTAGTTTCTGAGTGGAAATGCTATGGAAACGATTTACAGGTAAAATAACAATTTGAAACTAGGGTAATACGAAAACAATATGACCAAAATTCTTAATAAACATGCAAAATTGTAGAAAATAGCTTCGAAAGTTTTCACCTCATAATTTATTTTATGTTCGTTGTTTAAATCTTTCCATTGACGTTTAGGACTGAGACTGATCAGTCTCTTAATGGCATACGTACATCCTGTGCGGCTTGCCTCAATACTGTCTTAAGTCTTAAGCACTATAAGCTAGCCATTATCACCTCTGCTTTTCACCTCATAGTTAAATTGTATCTTACGACACAGATTTTCCATAATCTTTATTTAAAAATCTAAATTATTTTCTTTTCCTAAATCTACACAGTTTCTATCTCATGAATTCATTTTGGGCAGAAAAATTTCCGACTAGTTTTCATTTAAATATTGATATTTTATCCAAGTTCATCTTGTTTTTTCAGGATATTCAAATCAGAGTGAAAATGTTTTATTCAGGTCAAGGTCAAGGACTACAAACATTTATCTGGCTATCTGAAAGGGTAGAAATATGTATGCGAATTTTCTAATTTCTCTGAGGGTTTATTTCAATTATTGATATAATGAATAACATATACTAATATTAATAAGGACCACCTGAAATTCGATTCTTATAATAATGACTACTGATAACATAAATGATATATGAGGATTTGAAAAACGTTGACATCCTCAGTAACGGTATCTCAGTATAAGCATATAAAGTTACACTGAACAGTATATTCCATGATTTTAGCTCACCAAACCAAATAATCAGGTCGAAAATCATCAAAGAGGTGCCAAACACAAATGTCATTCAAGTTGTGACCAGTCGATAGAATAAAGGTGGATATCAGATGTAAATGATGAATATTCTTAATACCAGTCGGAAACTGCATCTCACTATAAGTATATTACCTAATGCGAATTAGCAACGCCAATTTAGTTTTTCATACGAAATTACAATATCATGAATTACGAATGGTTAAATAAATTACGTATAATACTCAAGACCCTAAAGTGTTAATAAGAAACCCCATCATGCATTACAGTGGCTTCCGAAAATATGAAAATCATAGATGAGATACATTACATACACATCTTTCAGTTGTCTATTACATGCTCCGTAATTCTTCCAATTCTGTTGCTATTCCATTTACTCTGTTTTCCTAGCCATTCTCTTCACTTTAGTCTTATGCTGGCAAGCATTCCATTTCCGAGTGCTGCTGTGCACCACCTACACCTGTCAGTAAAAGTAGCATACATCTCAATAGTACTAAATATATTACTTACGTACTTGAGCCCGTTAACCCTAATGGAGGAACATAGGACGCCCATCAGCATTCTTTATTTAACTCTGTCATACGCAACCATGTCAAGTTCTTTCCATTTCCCATTCATGTCTGCTTCCAATTATTTAGCCTTACTCTTTTCCGTTTGTGTTCACGGATTCAAGTTCGGGTTTGCTTCGTGATGCAGATCGGTGATTTCCTCAATGTGTGACAAATCCACTTTCATCGTTTTTCCATAATTTTCCCTTCAACTGGAAGCTGGTTTGTTCACTCTCACAGTAGGCTGTTGCTCATGGTATACGGTCAACGGACATTGAGTATCTTACGCAGATAATCGTTTAGAAATACTTGTACCTCCTTCATGATGGTTGTAGTAGTTCTCCAACTTTCAGCTACCTACAGTGCAACTAACTGTCTTGACGTTCCTATTGAAGATTCTCACTTTCATATTGACTTGCAGATAGTTGTTTCGAGTTCCATATGTTCTTCAATTGTATGAATGCGGCTCCTCATCTCACAATACTTGCATTCACGTATACATCACATCCTCCACGGTCATCAATGATGCCACCCGGATACGTGAAAAATTCAACACCATCCACAGTTTCTCCATCAAGTATGATTGGGTTGGTGTTCCCCGTATTGTATTTGACGATCTTGCTTTTTCTCAGGTGTATGTTGACACCTACTGATGTAGAGGCTACTGCTACACTGTTTGTCTTCACCTGGATTTATTCGTGTGTATGAGATAGGAGGATCAGCTCATCTGCGAAGTCAAAATCGTCCAGTTGATTTCCAGCTGTCCATTTTATTCCGTGCTTCTCATCACATGTCGAGATCTACATAACCCATTCGAACAT